TAGGGCACTGGACTCCCACATGGCTGATCACGATTTGAATCCCAGGCCCAGTGGCTCGCTTTCTCTTTTTTCCTCTCTCTCTCAAGTGCACATGCCCTATAGCAAACTTAAAATGATCATACTAATAAGTAAAATAAATAACTTATTTTTTAAAAAGGCATCTCTCTCCTGTCCCCCCCCTCAAGGACTTGCTAGGGAACAGGGGTCTGGTCTGAGTCATGTTTTCTACTCTATGAGTGGGTGCTACTGGCTTCACCTTGCCCCTCATGGTGGCATATTTCACATGGGCTTTTACGAGTTGTCCTTAAGGAAAAATCTCGGGTATTCCCTTTGTCATCGCTATCCAGGTCATACCACTGTACCCCAGGCCCTGGCAAGAGCTTTCCCGGATCTCCTTACTCCTCTCAGCAACCGGAGGCAGAAGGAGGAAGCTCATCCCGCTGTACCGATGAAGAAGCAGGCTGGCACGCTAAAGGACAGAGCTGGGAGTCAACCCACTCCTGAGTTCGAGGCCATGACTTTGACCCTTGTGTCATGTTGCCATGGAAGGAGGAATCTGGGGTCAGGAAGGGCTGTCTTCACCCTCAGCTGCCCTGAGGTCCGGCACTGTTAAGGACACCAGTTCATTTATTTTCAGAGTTACGTTGACAGAGGCTGGTTCTGCCAACACCATTTCGCCAGTGAGGAAACTGAGGCGCAGAGAAGGGGTATGACTTGCCTGAGACCACACAGTCAGGGAAAGGCGAGGCCAGGGCCAGCCCCGTAGTGCGGCGGCTAAGTGCTGTGCATCCCCTCCCACGGATCCCACTCCAACCGTGGCGGGCGTCCTGGCCCTCGTGTTTGAGAAGCATGCCCGACTGTGTATGTGCATGCGAACCCAGAGCCCTGTGGGGATGGAGAAATGAAGGAAAAAAGGATTACAGCATGATCACACCCCACAGGGAATGCTTTATCCCTCTCACGCTCTCTGGTGAGCACAGGTGCACTCTGACAATTTTTTTTTTTTTTAGAGAGATTTTCGCTATAGGGCGCGTGCGC